TGCAGTAGGTATCGAGTACCGCGTCGACCAACCTAAAAACCTAAAGAAGCCAATGCGTGCACTCATCTGAGCCCCTGAATCAGCACAGGAATTCGGGAAGCTTCCAGAAGAGAGCATTGCAATGTCCTGCTGCGTGTTCTACCCTAGTCCAGGCAGCTCCGAAATCAGCTCAAGGCCGCATTGGTGGGTGGTTGGTTTCGGGCATCTTCACAATTTCCTAAAGAAAGAGCCTGGGCCTGCATGCGTGAGCTTCTAGGTGAGCACAGCCGAGTCCAGGATTGGAGTGTTCTAGCATGAACTCGCCGCGGCATGGATCATACCCTCGAGCCTGTATTTCAAGCAACGAACCGATGCCCCTCACTCAGATCCCTCAAGTATGATTCTAACAAACCGTCGAGTCTACGCCCACCAGTGATGTGCTAGCTGTCTGCAGCTCGAAGGTTCTGCATGGCCAGCCTCTAACTAGGTTCTAACTAACTAGATCCCATCAGATGGCATGGCAAAGCCTGCAGCGAGGCTGGCTTCCCACCTGCACCTGCTCCATGAAAATGGCACGGGACTGCACGGAGAATCTCCTCTGCTGCTGCAGTGAAGGCGGCGTTGCCCAATAGTTGAAGACTCAACGAGCATCTGTCCCTGCATCTTGCGTGCGTGCGACCAGAGGTGCGCGGAAAGTGGATGTTCTGGGCGACGGCGGCCTCGGCGCAGAGGTGGGAGTTGGAATCGTCTCCCTCGTTCCTCGCTTCACTTGTCCGAAACTCCACAAGCCATGAGCCACGAAATGCAGCACTCTGCAAGGAGCTGGAGAAGGGCCTCCTAGTGCCTCCGGCGCAATTGAGGGGCGCGTGGCTTGTCACCTGTCAGAGGGTGTAGACTCAGTTCAGATGTGTCACAGAATGCGGGATTGCGAAGGCTTGTGCAGCCGAGATTGGGTTGTGGTTGTCTTGTTTTGCTGAGGGTTCATCATGTATAAATCCCTGCTCATGCAAGGGGCGACTCTACAAGGTCAGTCGAAGACGCTGCTGGGCAAATATGCGTTAAACTCTTATAGGCTGGCAGACGCCATCCGGATTCACTGCCGCGCTCATGCATGTCAGTGCATCATCAGTATTGCGTTTGAAGCTGCATCGTTGCATAATTATCTCTAACAGCTTCCATGTGCAAGCCGCTAAGATCACATCTCGGAATGACAAGATTTGACTCGCTCCGCATCGTCACTCCAAGGCCGCGTCCTGCCCTCGAATCGTACACAGCGGGCATCGTAGTGCTCCAGTTGAGGGCAGGACGGTTGCGAGAGGCCCGCTTCCCGGATCTTGACACGTAAGATGCTGAACAACCGGGTGCGCTGCTGCTGCAGGGTTGCAGGATGTTGTAGGTGAGCCACCTGGCAGACCCGGCTTTTGTCATCACAAACTGGCTGAACATGCTTAGACATTGCCGTATTCCGTGCAGGCGGAGGAGCGCTGAGCAGCACATATTCGTGTGGCTTTCGTCTGCCGTAAGCGTGGACAAGCAACTCCGCGATTGTTCTTGAGATAAGCGATAGAGGCGATACGTACTGTCCTTTTCCATCCGAGTATTCCGTTCGATGTAAGCTTCGCTGACCAGTGAGTGACTTTCGGGTGGAGGAATCCTGGATTGGCCAGGGTTCGGTGCCACAGCAAATAGTCCGTCGTCCATCTGTGTGGCTTGACATGTACAGACTGGTGGCAGAGCGACTGTGCCGGGCTGCCACCGTGTAATGTCTTTGTTGCTAGAGGCAGTCGCGATGTCGGTTCACCTTGTCCGGAGTCATAGGTTGTGTATTTTGTCTCTCTCTCTCTCTCTCTCTCTCTTTTTTCAAGAGGCATTTTTGGTTGGTTTCCTATTCTGGGCTTGGCACCTGCAGAGCTTCTTTAATGGTCCGCCTTAGCCGCGGCCCATAATTCGCCTGCCGTGCAAGGGCCCGGCGGTTAGTGAGGTTGCCCTCTCCGAAGTGAAGAGAATGCGTCTTCAAGGCTTCCGACGCCTCCAAACATCCTCCAACGATCGTGACGACGACCGGCATCGAACTTCTTGTGTGCACTCCAAATCTCACCAGTGCGAAGCCTGGACGTCGCACTTAGGGCACGCTCTCGGAATCTATGACGTAAAGTCTCTTGCAGTGGGCAGCTTGTCTTGATGTTAGGCTTTGGTCATGTCGTCTCGATGTCTTTATGCATCAAATGTGTCGTTTCGTTGATCTTAGAGTATGTTTGCTTGATGGAAGTGCTCTCGACGGATTCCAGTGCGGTGAGCTTGAGTAACAGATGCAGGCTCATGCATGAAATGAACATGGGAGAGTTGTCATTGGCCTGCTGCTGCAACAACCTTGGCTAAAGCTTGGGGAAGTAGTTTGCCATGTCTCTTGTGCTTTTAGAGTTGGCGAGTCAATGCATCCTGACGTTTGCCTTAGTCTTTGTGGCATTAGGCCCCTCAACTTTCAACACGCCTGCTTCCATTCAGCCCGGCTTGACCCCCACACCCACCCCAATGCTGAAAGGAAAAGGCAAGCACCTTAATGCTACCATCTAGCTTGCAGAACAGACTTGAGCAAGGGGGGATGGGGAGCGCTGATGAGCAGGTGATGTTCTGGGTCGGTCTGCTCTGCAGGTCTGAAGCGAGAACTCTGTCCGTAATTCTGCAAGGTTGGATCTGAGGCGGAAGCAAGCATCCCTGCCACCCGAGCCCCCAAGATGATCGGGCAGGCCTCGAAGGCCATGGCGGCTCTTCACACTTTCGGCTGCTGTGGCCAGCGCTGCCAAAAAACCGGCAGGCAAACAACCTGAACTGCCCGATGGGAGGCTAACGTCTACTCGCAGTCTGGCACAGGCCCGTCGCCGCCTGCGTGGCGAGCTGCAGAGGTCACAAGCTTGTGCTGTGCCAGTGTAGGGCCGAATGAGCACAATTGCCAACTTGCGAAGATCCTGCACCAAAGTTCAACCATTCAGAATGCTGGGGCAGACTTGTAGGGCACGGATGATGCTGGCTAAATTCGATACTACCAAGAATCTGTGAGGGTATGACGTCGCGAACGCCCGATCTCTTCATTGGACCCTCAGTCTTGCTTTCTGTCATCACCACGACTCTCAGTAGACTGTCTACTCTTGCGATGGGGATACCATCCGATGCCACCACCACCGCCACTGTCACACCGCCACCGCCACCGCCACCAACCCCACCGCCATCACCGCCTCGCCGCCAACATCGCCCCCGCCTCCACCACCGCCGCAACACCAACACCAACACCAACAACAACACCAGCAGCAGCAAAAACAACAACAGCAACAGCAACAGCACCTACAACAACGACGACGACAACAGCTGCTACGACGAGTGCTAGTACCACCTACCACCACCAGGGTTCGGAGTGGGCGGTTTCGGGCTTGGGGTATTTCTGACGAACTAACTTGTCACAGGAGGTGGAGGGCTTGCCGGTCGGTGCAGAAGTGATATTGACTGGAGCCGTTCTCCCAGCTACGCTCCTGCTGAGACATTCGATGGGATGCCTTCAGCCAAGTGTGAAGATCATGACAGAAACTGTTGAAGTGTCGATTGCTACACTTTGGTCGTTCAGTTCAAATTGTCTAGATGGACACAATTGTCTCGATGGAAACACGCAAGACTGTCGCCTGAGGATGAGATTTTGACCGGAAATCGGGGAATCGCGTATCGAAAAGAGCACGGTACCCAGCTGATTCGGCTACACTCTGTGAAAGAACTTCGCACATACTTATCAGAGTTCCAGTCGTCCACTAATCTTTTCATGGCCTAACTCTGCTGCTGCTTCCGACACTCAGGTCAAGGGTGCCCTACCATATTGAGCTGGTTCATGAAGATGCCGCCGACTTGGCGATGTAGTGCCTATTGCGTCAGATTAGAATTCAGGCACTTCTGCTCAGACCCTCAGGGTAGCTGTCACCTGACGATTGGGAATTGGGAAAGCGAAGTCACTGGGGCAACAGCGTTGCAAGACTGCAGACTTCGGAGTCTAGGCGCAGTGCAAGCCCGCATCATCAGAACATGGTCAAACATTGTCAAGCTGTGGTATCAGTAAGCCAGTAAGCTCCAGCCAGACTCGAGATATCTCGAGATGCCACCTTGGTTCGCCGCAACTCTCAGGACTTGCCGTCATTCTTGCAGCGGCGTTTGCCAGCAGGGGCCCCGATTGCCCGGGAGATAGCAAGAGCATGCATAGCATGCCGAGCCACTAGGCAATCGCTGTTCGGCAAGCTGAAGCCGGCAAAAGGCAGCTTAAGGGATCTTGGGGTGTGATGAGACGATGCTGGAAGGGTGAATCCCGTTGCCTCCAAACTATCCCGCAGAGTTGCGCGCCATTGCGCCAAATTACTCCAGGTCGAGTCGTCCTCTGCTACTTCGCAGGATTTCGAGCTTACACCCGAGACTTGCAGGCGAGACTGCCCTGCGTTTGGCTTCCGCTTTGAAAGCGACTGACGTTTTCTCAATGTCGGATGGTTCTCTGCAGGCGCGGACGCTTCTTGCTCAGCGCGCGCGACTTAGTCGGCCTGCGTTGTCAGCAAAAAATATAGTTATACTTACATCTGTATTATGTTCAGTCTGATGCAGTACAGTAGCTGTGCATTTTGAGAATCAGCTGTGGCATTACAAGCAATACCAGCTACCACATAGGACTTCTCACTTGGGTTCCCCAAGGACCCTCGCATGGGCATGCGCAGGGCTCAGCTTCGGGACACGGTTGACATCACAAGGACCCGCGTTTCCGCTGAGGATACTCTTCTTATGTGAGTAGATTGAAGATAGCAGACCAAGACGATCAAGGCTCGTCGGAGAAGTGATGGATGCAGGGTGTCACCGACAGTCGAGAGCATCAGCATGCGCGGCAGTGCAATGCCGTGAAGGAACGACAGCCTTTGCAGCCCGAAGTTGTCGGCGATCGCAAACCCCCGCAGCTCCTTTTTAGGTTGAACAACCAGCGCAGAGCCTACGAGACTGCCCTGGACATGGCCTCGGCTCTGGGCGGGGGATCCAAGTGGCCTCCCGCAGACACGGTTGGTCAGGTAAACATATCCAAAGGTTGCTCACCGAAACATTTAGGGCTTAAGACTTGTCAAAGATTTTGATGCCAGTGGCTCTTGTCAGAGTTGATCTAAGCCTCTAAACCTGCATTCGATGTTTGAGCGTCGAATCGCCAGGTCGGATCCTAGTGATGCCCGGCTTCTTCAAGTTTCCGCACCCAGAGGCACGCAGCACGAGCTCTCCAGGCGACAAACACTTTGAGCTTTGCGAAGCTTGCAAAGGTTCTGCCTCCGTCCGAGCAATTATGACGGTCAGCATAGCATGACTTGTTGCTCAGGCCTATGCGGGCACCCAGTGGGTTCCCTTCCGGGAACTCTTCGACTTGGAAGCGTTGGGTGCCCAAAGCTCGCAGCACTACGCAAGTTGCGGATGGGCATCTAAGCTAACAGCTAACAGGAAACTGTCACCGCGACAAAGCGTAGTTTTCGTGTGTGTCGTTGTTCTGTGGCCAGCCCCGTTAGGATACGGCGTTGCTATGGGCGCGTAGTGGAGGCAGGCTCTAGGGCCCTAGGTACAGATTCGAGCTACATGCAGCCGTCGAAATGGACACTGACTGCTTTTCGGGTGCTCTTTGCGGTCTGCGGCCCGAAGAAGGCAAGACACCAGCTGCCCGTTTGGTCCAGCAAATCGGATCGCACTCGATCGAGTAGAATGGCGTGGAAAGGGAAGAAGCTTGACACTACTCAGATAGCTTGAAACATGAGCCTGCGGCAGGGTCGAGAATCATGTTGCAAAGCGCATCAACGTTGTCTCGTGAAGCCACGTGTCAATGAATGAAGATCGCAAGCTGGCCTGTGCCTTGCAGGTAGAGGAGTTGGTGAAGCTGTGCGGCCCAGAGGCTCGGTCTCCTTTTGATGCTTTTGAGGCATCCCCTTCTTGGGACAACAGCCAACATTGGGCAGAAGGATGTGGTAGCCACAACCTGTGTAAGTGGCTGTGGAGGTCTTGGACAATCATGTCACCGTGCCGTTCGAGGAGCTTTGGGCGCGCAGCAAGAGGAAGGCCTAACCGGTGGGAGCCAGCATGCGGTAGCGAATCTTTGAGACATGGCCTGCGCACTCTTCCCACTCTGCAGACGAATCTTTCTCTTGCTGCAGGCCCCGTGGCTGAATGGAACACGACCAGATATGATCTGGGCACGGCTCTCAGCAGAAGTGACAATTGACCAAGTTTCAGCCCCCAAGACTTTGAACCCACATCTGTCTTTACGCTGAAACGCTGGCGAGGCGAGCTCTTTTCAAGTGACGGTTCCGCAGGGTGGCAGTGGCTTCTAATTCTAATGCCTGCGTGGGCCCACCCAGACCAACCCCGGCCACCGGTACTCCACACCACACGCACGATTTCTGCAGGCAGCATTGCACGGGAGGTAGGTTCGTACCAATGTGATTCAAGACAGCATGACCAAATGAGGATCGCTCAGGAGTCAGGAGTGCCCCAAAAGTGCAAACGCAAACCTCCAACCTGCCTAGGCCGATTCTGCCGGCAAGGCGGTGGGCTCAGGGGATGTAAAGGGGAAGTAGGATTCTTTCAGAATCCGACGGCTGCAGGTTTGAAAGTTGTATGTCGGAGTGGGGAATTCAGTGCAAAAAAGCTACGTGGCCTTAGAACCGCGGGCTGCACGAATGCCGTCGAGGTCTTCCGTTTCACCTCGCGAGCGACAGGACCGGAACTGTGGCTGAAAGTCGAGGCTCGGGCTCGGGTAGGATCGGGTAGCATACCGTATACCGGTACTGCCAGAGGGTGCAATGATTGGTCCTTGGTACTGGCTCGATGTTGAGGAACGGAGAGGCTACGTCCTGGCAGCTTTCTTGAGACCGGAAGCCGCCGAGGCACAGGGAAACCCTGGAGGCTTCTCCTTAGGCCTTAGGTTGACTCCCAGCTATGCACAATTCACGTTTGGCGATGTGCAGAACTTTCGACCAGCGGCGTAGGCACGCACTGTCCGTGCGCACGGCCTCCTTGCATCCAACAGCACCATCGGGGATGTGGCAGCGCGGGGCTTGGCCAGACTCTGCTAGAGCTGCGTCGACCATGCTTATTTCGGAGCCAGGACTGCATCCTTCCTTCGAAGGCGACCTTGGCGCCATGACCTCAGAGCCCAGCGGATCGAAGAGGTCAAGGTCGGTGTTCTTTCGGTGCTGCGAGCCGCTGGTAGGTTGGCCCAGAGAGTCGCCTCGAGAGCCGGCCTTCTCGAAGGCGACGCTGTTCTCACAGCTATGCTTTGGGCATTCTCTGAGCTCTCGGACCTTCGAGTAGGGGCCTGATGCCCACTATGCCTTGTGGGTGACGTTCATGTCACAGCCTCAGAGGGTCAGGGTGCACAGAGCATCGAGCGCCCTGAGGAGGAAACGAGACCCCACGGGTTCTGGCGATGCACGTGCGTGTCTTCAAGTGGAGCACCTGTGCCTTGGCTGAGCATGGTGGTGGTTGCATTCTGCTGGTAGCAACTTTGACGCAGCTGGTTTAGGAAAGACAGTGGCGATGACGATGCGCCATAAGTAGGTTTACAAGACGTCGTGGTGTGAACCTTGGACGACTATCGCTCTTGTTCTCGAGTTGTACTCAACAACTCGTGTGTTAGACCACGAGCACTTGTGATGTCTTGCATGTCAGCCAAGTGCATGAGCTTCGCTGTTTCACGTAAGATCCTTCCTGTAATCCCATGCAAGTACATGATTCGCTCAGCAACCTCCGGGGGCCACCTGATTCCGGAGCTCGCGGACATGCAGGCAAGGCCCAGCTGATGCGGGATAAAAAGTCAAAAAGCGCAACATGCGGTCTCATGCCACATGTACTTCAGCTTGGACGAGTAGGAGAGCATCAGGACGGACGGAGACGGCAACACAACCAGGTTTGGCATGTAGGGTTTTGTAGAATCCAGCCCTCTTACCCCCCTCTTTTTCCCAGGAGTATCTCTGTAACATCGAGCCGGAGGCTGGGCCGGGGGAAATCTCTCTTGAGACTTTAGCAACATTTTACCTGCCAGGGGGAGTCTCGTTGAGTTGATTTTTGTCCTGGGGGAACCATGTGCTGTGTGCCAGGCACACTCACAGGCGCACGACTGTAATCTCCGGAAATTTTAAGTGACTCCTTCCGAAATCGCGACGGACAAGAACGCCGACTTACTGCCTTCAGCAGCGCTTTGCAGGTCTATGCCGTGATCGCGTCGTGGACCCTCGTTCGGTGAAACCCTCAGATCATGCGATTGTGTGCAAAAGAAGCCCGGCTTTTGCTAGGCTGCCACTGTGTTATGGCCACCATCTACAGCCTGTTTGTATTCCTGGGTTGGTACTCGTAGCGTATCTTCACGAATTTCTGTGCCAGAGCTAGCCCGAGCTGCCTCGGACAGAGCTCCTAAGCCGCAGGACGTTCAAAGGCTTCTGGCCCACGCTGTTCCCTCAGCCGCTCCGTGTGTTTGGGTTTCCGGAGTCTTCAGATGAAGTCGGGCCGGTCGGCTTGACTGCTCTCCTGTTCCTCGTTCGATCATGTGCGATCTGGCGGTTTTGTTGTCGCTCGCGGGGAATCTTTTGCCGCAATCGCATGTGGCACGATGCAGCTCAGGCACACTTGGCTAGCCAGCAACGAAGCGGATATCTCTGTGCTGGGTGAGTCGGGGCCCTCGGCTGCGACGCCGGCAAGCGCGGGAATTGATGGTGTCTTGCTTGTTTGGGATCGCCACATCAATACTTGCTTTGTATCAGCTGACCAGAAATTCCTTGATTTTGCATTGTCGACCGCCTGTCAGACAGGTATGCTGGAGGCTTGCCCGGCGTTCGTGTCAACCCGTATCGACCTTCGCATCATGCCTCAGCCTCAATTGCCTGGAAACGTCGGTGACTTTGTGAGAGACCCTATTTAATTACCACTTGCCTAGGATGCGGCAGTAACTGCGGAGGCATGGCATGGGCGAGCTTGATGGATGAGAAGAGGGTGCAACAGGGCCGTTTGCCAGGTTCTGCAGAAGCTCCCAAGCACGATATGACATGACACAAAGTCACCAAGATGCTGTCATGCGCAAGCTGGACAGGAATGTACCCTAGCGCTTCGGTCCGTCTTGGTCGACACCATTGCCGGAGCCCCGAAGACCCGAAGATCTGCGAAGGGATCACATTGGTCTACAGGCTGAAATCCCGATGGACTCTGGGTGAAGTTGTGAAGCCGTGCCTGTCTGGGATCGAAGCCAGTGCCAGTGTACCTAAAACCGAGCCAACAATGCCATGCACCCTCAGATTTCTGCTTGGGCGGACTTCTTCATCGGGAACGTCTGCTCCACGATGCTCGGCACTCGGGATCGAGTGCCGAGTTGGCCGTGGATGCTTGGCTGGGCGTCGTTCCTGGCAGGAAGACTTAGGAAGGGCCAGTGGCCGCCAGGAGCATTTGCTGCAGCACACCGCATGTTTTAGACGAGGAGTTCTCCACGGCTCGGACGATCGGAGCCGATAAATACTCGCCGTTGTCAGACTCCATGCGAGCATCGAATGAAGTCCTTTGAAGTCCTCGCAACAAGGACGCAGTACATCTTGCAGCTGAGGCCGGGTTCGGGGAGCCATGCTCGCAACTCTTTCCTGCTCAAAGCAATACCAGCGCAGTATTCTTGAGAGCAGATTACGTTCTCCAGTTCATAGCTTGCATTTTGATGTATAGGCTCGTCTTCCCTCCACCGTCCCTGTCTCCCGAAATTTTGCTCACATTAAAGTTCAAACGGCCCTGGCCCTGCAAGTGTTCTTGGGGTGCGCCCTGTGTTCCCGCGGTTCTGCGGCCAGTGCCGTGTGTGGAGGGATGCTTTCGGAATGGTTCTTGGGCAAGTTCTTGGGCTGCTACTAGTAGGTTCAGCAGCCAGTGCGCTTGCTACAGCGGGCACGATGCCTTGGGACTTGCCCGTGTTTCCTATTCGTTGCTCGAAAGTTGTGAACTCCAAATATGATCCCGACAGCATCCACACGACAACTGGCTCCACGCATTTTGTCCTGCCAGTGTGGGATAGTCTGTGTGTAATTAATTAGGGTCGACATACTCGTAACACCGTTTGACACCGCTCTTCTTAATCCTTTTGCTTGTGGAGGCAGCGGCTGGTCTCGGCAATAGCACATGCGGAACGTTGACAGGCAAGGCGGTGGCGGCATGCCCAACTCCACAACGAGTGGGCCAGAGCCGTTGACCCAAAAGGAGCGGCTAACCGTCAAAGGAGCGTGCCACTGCCGTGAAACCCGAACGGAATGACCAACAATGCAAGGACTGAGCCAACGACACCACACCCCGGGTGCACAAGCAGCAGAAAAGTGGGTGCGGCCTGGAGATTTGCCACCGCCCCCGCCCCAACAGGAGTAGCGGAGTTGGGTGCAATCTCAAATTACCTGGTGGTTTGGCTGGCGGACCTTGTTCTGTCCGCTTTAGAAAAGTTGCTCTATAGTTCGCTGTGGGGAGCCCCAGGCACATCCTGTTTGTCAAGATTCCATGTGGAGAGGGGGCCTGAATTGCCCTGTAGTCGCAAGGGGTGTGCAAATGGGTGAAACAGTCGACCAGCGCTGGATCCATGTTGCACAATACCATCTATTGACATACAGCGATTGTCGCAGCGAAGGATGATTCTCAAAGCTCTTATCCCCAAGAATGATGAGACCTTGCAGGCTGCGCTATGGCAAGTCCTTCACGAGCTCCCTTGCCCTCGGAGGGGTGCGGCCCTCAATCGGGTAATCACAGTTTAAGGTTTAGAGTCTTTAGTCTGTAGGTCCTGTAGGTGTTTCAGGAGTTGAATTGGGATGGGCCGTCTGGCTCAGGGAAGTCATCAAGTCATCTTCCGTGACAAGGTTTCGAAACGACTTTGATGTGGGAGGGAGCGGCGCGGATAATTTGGTTGCATGCAATTCAATGATGGGGTCGGCCTTCCCAAGAAGTGGTGACGCCATACTCTTGACATAGTGGAGATTCAAAAGTGTCACTGCTTTCTTTGCTCCTGTCAATTACCTCAGACAGAGAGTCAAGAGAAAGGTTTCCAACGGATGACTTCCGTGGTCCTCGCACAAGGTCTGTACAAAAACCGGGTAGCAACCATCTGCATTCGTCGCTGACTTCTGCCCCGCAATCCGGTGCCTTCCTCACATGTACAACGTAAAAGTTCGATCTGGCCATCCAGTCACCACGTTTGCCCTGACTTGGGTCTCCCGTACTTCGAAAGAAGGTGCAGCATGTCGACCTTTTACGCTCGGCACGCCGGCAAGTAGCGGAAGCCCGGCACTCAGGGACGCGAGGTAGTTACGCTGTAAGGGTTTGTCCCAGCTCGCAAATTTGATGCTTCGTGGGGCTCGTGGATGATGCATTTGCGGAATTGAACATATGTGGGAGGGCTTTCCCGAAACCATGTTCCTTTGGCCATTTTGTCCAAGCATTCATCGCCACTATCCGCCCTCCTGCTGCATTTAGGCTTACGGCACTCCTCAGTGAGGCCAGTCTGCTCTTAGCTTTGGTCGCTTCGAAAAAGTCAGTTTGACATGTGAGGACGTGGGCATGTAAGATGGGACTTGTCCAGAGCTTGCTCGGTCGAGGATGGAGGATTGTTGCCTTCGCATGCGGAGCACCAGTTCAGTTTGCAAAGAACTCTTGAAGATCAGAGGCTAGCAATATCGTGCTTTCTTTTGCGGACGTTTTGCAGACCGAAGTGTGCTTACAACGTATCACTGTATGCACGTATGCATGCATGCATGCATGCATGTGTGTGTGACATATATAAGATGTGTTTATAGTGCTTGATATACAACGGATCATATATCTATATACACATACGAGGCGCAGAGGTGTCTCCAGCTAGGAGCAGCAATATGTCGACGGAAGCAGAAACTATCCGAACTTTTCTGGCCTGTCAGATTTGGCTAGTGTCCCGGGGCAAGGCATCGATTGGAGGAAATGTCAATGCTAGTCGGCTAGTCACAAACGGTTGCAGCTTGTCCGGACGTGGCCACAGGGCGGCTCAAAGCAGACGCTAGCTGTTAGGGACGGTCACAGGCCAGATCAGTTCGTGATGGTGCGGTATCACGCTACACGACTGCGGCGTTGAAGGTTTTGAGTACAGTGTAGGCATATCAACCTTTTCTAAACTGCCGAAAACAACAACGAGGCACTGCTGGAACACTATCAAAGCATCTAGGGCCGAGGGCCATCTAGGATACTGTGGCCTTTGGGGCTTCTGATGGAGGTTCGTGTGCCCGACTCAGACTGTACCGTTGCGTGGTCCTGGCAAAGATCTCAACACACGATGATGGCTGCAGGAAGCGCCTTAACGTGTTGCGTGCAGTCCGTCTTGAGCCTACCTACCATCATGAGGATGCATGTGCTTAGTGATTTCAGCCCTTCATCTTGCAACAGGGTCGTGCAAGACTTCATGACAGTTTCTCGTTTCTTCTCAAAGCACTCTTTGCTTGAACTAAACCCAGCACTTAGCTCGAACCTTGAGACTGGCTGAAGGTGCCACCGACGCACTGGGCGCGGGTGGCTGGAGGCCTGTCGAAAGACCTTGACTAAGTACTGCTGCTGTTGCTGCTACTGATACTGTGACGCCTGTTCAACGGTGGACGGATTCACTGCTTTGTAGGCTCTTAGGAGCGGATGGATCCGAAGTGACTGCTACTGAGGGTGCTGCCAGTGCAATCACTGGTTGTACATGGCTATCAACAATTCCGTGACGACTACGTAAATTGACCATTCATTCACTGGCTGGATTTAATTTAACCCTTCTTTCTTGTTTGGGTCCGTCTTTGCTCAGATATCAGAACTGTCATTCATCAAGTTCTACTGGTGCGACGGAGCTGTCATGCTGTTGAAGCTCTTCAAACCTACCGTGCTGCTTGCTGCCTGGGCTGTTCCTCTGCCACTGAAGGGTGTTGAAGCGTTGTCGGGGTGGTGTCTCCAGAAGACGCCTGGAAAATGCGACTAGTGTCTTGCTGGTTGTCAATGTAGTGACAAGCTACAACAACAGGTTCCTAGACCAGTATCAGATTATAGTTCAATAGTCAATAGTCGTGAGTAATGCCAATCGCAAGTCTGTCCAGATCGACTCAGCACTTCCAGTCAAAACTCCTGGATCCCCAGCTTCAACTCAGGACTAGCGACCCCAAACTCTAAACTCTGAGCGCTGCATTGTATGTGCTTCACGGCAGATCTCTGCCAACTTCAACCAAACTTACCGAGCAGGCCCTCGCCTGCATGAAATCGCTGGGCATCTTGTTTGGGATGTTCCGCGGACTGCACAAAGAGGCCGGGCTGCTCGCGGGATGTTGCCAATAGTGGCGGTGGTAGTGGTTCTGTGGCAGTAGTATTGATAGTGGTAGTGGTAGTGGTAGTTGTAGCAGTAGTCGCAGTAGCAGTAGTCGCAGGAGCAGTAGCAGTAGCAGTAGTAGTAGTAGCGGTAGTAGTAGCAGGAGTAGTAGCAGTAGTAGTAGTAGGAGTAGGAGTAGGAGTAGGAGTAGGAGTAGTAGCAGTAGCAGCAGTAGCAGCAGTAGCAGCAGTAGCAGCAGTAGCAGCAGTAGCAGCAGTAGCAGTTGTAGGTGGTAGTAGTAGTAGTAGTAGTAGTGGTAGCAGTAGTAGTAGTAGTAGTAGAAGTAGTAGTAGTAGTAGTAGCAGTAGTAGTAGTAGTAGAAGTAGTAGTAGTAGTAGTAGTAGTAGTAGTAGTAGTAGTAGTAGTAGTAGTAGTAGTAGTGCAGTAGTAGTAGTAGTAGTAGAAGTAGTAGTAGTAGTAGTAGTAGTAGTAGTAGTAGTAGTAGTAGGAGTAGCAGTAGCAGTAGTAGCAGTAGTAGCAGTAGCAGTAGTAGTAGTAGTAGTAGTAGTAGTAGTAGTAGTAGGAGTAGGAGTAGGAGTAGGAGTAGGAGTAGGAGTAGGAGTAGGAGTAGGAGTAGTAGTAGCAGTAGCAGTAGCAGTAGCAGTAGCAGTAGCAGTAGCAGTAGCAGTAGCAGTAGTAGTAGTAGTAGTAGCAGTAGTAGTTGTAGTAGTAGTAGGGGTGTTGGTGTTAGTGGTGGTGGTGGTGGTGGTGGTGGTGGTGGTAGTAGTAGTAGTAGTAGTAGCAGCAGCAGAAGCAGTAGTTTGTACTAGAAGGAGTAGGAGTACGAGTAGGAGTAGGAGTGAGATTGGGAGTGAGGAGGCAGCAGCAGCAGCTGCTCTGCAAATGCCAATGTTGTTGCCAGCATTGAACTCAATAGATCTCAACTTGTATGAGAGAGCAAGGCAACATGGGTATCTTTATCAGGAGGAAGAAGAGTGTCGAAACACGATGCAGGTGGTGGTGGACGCTCTTGATGACGGTGGCGACGATAGCCGTGTTACGCTTTCATGCTGATGGTGCTGGTCTCCGCTGCTGGCATTGGTGCTGGTGGGTCAGAAGTGATGGCCATGGTGATAGCGCTGACGATGATGACTCGGCCAAACGGTCTGTCGGTGGACTCCGATTGCAGGGGGCCCCTCCGGCCGATTTCCGTTGCGAGGCTCGCGGGATCTCGCAGTCCTTGAGCCCACTTGGCTACTTGGAGCTTCAGGGGCCTGCGAGTTCGCAGTAGACCTGCTGCAGCCCTTCTGTGGTCGGTACTATCTGCAGTTAGTGGGTGACAGTATTTTAGGATCTGTATTGCCGACCTGCCATATGACGCTTGGGTTGCTGTGGGTAACGCAATGTACCGCATCAACTGCGACATCTTCAGAGGCCCATGCAAGAACGGACTGACTAGCATTGTTCCTGGCATTTCTCACGTGGACCCTTCACTGGACAGGCGGGGCACTGTTCGGCGCAGCTATTGCTTTTCGGCAGAGGCAGAGCGAGACTTCCGTGAGAGACGTCTGCGAATCTTGTGCAGTAACTAGTGGCTGCACATCAACAACCGTGCCTCACATCAACCACCCCGTTGCAACTTCACGGACAATGTGTACATCATCAGTCAGACATAGTCAGACGGCATCAAAGCCGAAACTACGTCAGCATGGAGGTAGCCTCAGCCAGTCTTCAGCGCCTTGTGCTCGAGTGACGCTGTGCCATTCCCCGAACCGATGGCGTGCTCCAAAACATTTAAGTCGAGACTCTTGAGCATGGCTTAAAGCCATTGCCAACAGACGGAAGGAGCAGACTCGTGCGTGTCCTATAAAGGCAGCCACTATGAAGAATAAGGTTCGTCGGCGGTACCTCTGCTAAGCTTTTGCAAGCCCTCCGCACAGGCTTGGCCGCTCGCTAAGTCGGACACTGCCAGGCTCTGGATGCTGTACGAATTTAAAACAGTCAAAATCGTGACGGCGTCAAGTCGTGCACGGTCGTCATGTCGCTTCAGTAAGTCAGACCTTCTTCCCACCTGGATCGTCCGCACCGAGGGTTCCGGGTTGAAGCGAAACATCCCATTCTTTCGTGGCTCGGCAGAGGCGCAGCTGCTTTGCCAGAGGGTGGCGAGGAGGCGACCTGTCGCGAAGTCGTGCCATTGCGACGCGACCCTTTGTGGGTCTCTGCTCGAGGTGGCTGCGTCCGTCTCGCGGACAAGCCCAGCTCTTAAGTGTGATCTGAGTTTGAAAGATTTCCTACATGAGTAAGAAGATGAAAGAAAGACTCTGGTGAGCAATGGCTGTTTGATGGCTGCTTGTAGGTTTTGAACATATTATGGCAGTCTACCCATTCGGAAATTGTTGCACGAAACCTTCGCGATGAAGCATCTCAGGCGCCCCCGTCGTGGCAGCTGCCCGCAAGGCCAAGCGGGTGGCAGAGCGCCTCTGCAGCATGTTGTTTTGGTCACCGGCGCTGAGTCCCATGTAGCCCAATGCCACAATGACATAGCACCCGGCAGACTTAGATGTTGGAGGCTTCCGGCAGAGATGGTTGGCGGAGAGGAGGGTGGAGGGGGGTTGGTTGGAAATTATTTCACCACTTGCCTGACGGCTTGATTTCAGCCGCGACGAGGTATCAGCGGATGCAGCGACAGAGTTTGATCGATGCGTCTGCTGCGGGCTTGCTGGGTGCCGTCTCCTCGGGTTGAGTTTTGCGTGTGAGCTGTGCGTCCGTCGGGCCTGAATCTGCATTTTGCTGCAAGATTGGAGGTGCTCTGTTGGCCTACTTGAACAATGGAGTGGACGCTTCAGAGGCTCGCGCTTGTAGGTCTCGAGCATTCCTGTTGTGGTCCCAACGGAGACTTGCCTGTGAGCTGCTGTACATGCATGCTTCATTTATCGTCTGGCTTCATCATTTTTTTTGCACACCGGCTCTGGCACTGGACAACACCATTCCTGCCACAAACATCCCAAGCCGCATTGTCACTGCGAACTCAGGGCTGGCTCGTTGGAGTTGCCTTTGGAGTACTCTATCTGCTGATCTTGCAGCAGGACGTGGCCAAGGCAGAACGTTGTGCCAGATCGTGGCATTGCTAGCCCGTCTGCTCTTGCTGCAACTCGCAGTTGTCCACGGAGTGGAACCCCTTCAGCGTGACAAATCCGCTGCGGAGTCGGAGCACCCAGCCATGGATCTCTGAAGGCGAAAGCTTAAGGCTCGAAGGCTTAAGTTTGAGTGCTACGTGGTGTCCCCCTCCCTCAACCAACCTGGTTTTCTGGACGTTAACCGCTCAAGGAAAGGAATTCATAAAACAAAGAAGGCTTAAGTTCTTGGATTTCTTGTCCTGCCGCGGGGTTCTGAGGGCTGAGGGCCTTAGGACTTCTGAAGCGAAAGCTGTCGCACTCCCGACTCCCAGTCCTGCGCTTCTTGCTGCCGTTTGGGCTGGTGCTGGCCCTTGGCTGTTGCCCCAGAGAACAGCTTCTGGGGACTTCCTAGAGCATCGGCTTGACCTGCTTGAAAGTGCGGAAACTGTCTTCTCTCTCTTTCTCTCTCCAGACCTGTGCTCGTGTGAAAACAAGTTTTGCAATGCCTCGGCAAGGTCTGCAGCATGCTGGGAGCTGAGATGCTGAGACCCGACTTGCGCATTGTGTGACCCATCCTCCGCCGACGCGAGTACAGAGAAATTGTGATTGATGGCGAAGGGCACTGCCGGGTTGGGTCGCGGCTCCGGCAGTGGCGTGGTGCACATTTTGGATTCATTTGCCTTCTATGCACAGACCTGGGCCAGCCACGTCCGACGTTAACGGGCGGAGTTTTGTAGAATGCCCTAGACATTGGCGCTTCCGGTGACGTCGCGCTCATTCTAGTCTTCAAATCGCAGGGAAGTTGCCAAAGTCCTGCCAGAGTAACACCGGCCACACCATTCGGCTCCTCGAAGGCTCGTTGGTATGGTCTCGAAATACCGCCTGTGCAAGATAGCTTGGCAATTCATTGAAGTCTCACTGGCTCCCTCCTCCAGAAATCGTGCTCCGCAAGTTTTGGGTATGAGTCTGGCAGCCTCCAAAACTCATGTTCCTGCCACAGTCCCACGTGTTCGAGCCTCCCGGAGTCAGTCATGCTCCCTCCTGTACGGCTTGCACTGGAAGGTGTGAGCTTGAAGGTTTTCGAGGTCAGTTTCGGGGCAGAGTTTCGGGGACAAACTTTGAAACTATGGTACCCAGCTTGCACTGCCCGGTTTTTCATTGGGAGGGAAGCAAGGCTGGACGTTTTCATGACTGCAGATGGGGCTGCTTAGCACTGCATTGAGGGACATGGCCGAGGCATCATCAATTGGCTTTGATGTGGCCGTTGACTCGGCCCATTTCTGCACTGGTGGCTCTGTCAGACGAACTGTCGTATGACGCTCTGGATAGAGGTTTCGTCTTGCGCATGCGACGATGGCATGCTGTGCATGCTTGCATAGGATCATCATGTCCACATTGGCCGGCAGCTTTGCACCCGTTTCAGTGCAAAGGAGCCCCATCTCCACCATGACAATGAGCAGCTGTTGAAGAATTGAAGCTGTATCTTTTTCTGGGTCGTGTCCTCGCAACTTTTGCCCAGTGGCTGGAGCGCCTCGCCTGGGAGCCGGGTGTGAACTTCACAGGCAGCGTTCTCAAAGGGCGTCTTCTTGAAAGGAATCTTCTGAAGGGTGCGCAGGCTCGGGCGCGGGCTACGAGATGCCGTGAATCATACAGCCTCAGCAAGCACCCTAAAGCCTCCGAAGGGGAGGTCCTTCGAGCAAGAGTGGCAGGGCAAGGCGATCAGGAAGATGCTCATCGATGTCTGATCTATCTTCCAGCAGTGACGATTATGGCCCTCACTGGTTCGCTACTATTTGCATAGAAGCTCGTATGTAAGGGCTCAGTGTGGATGCCTGAGCTTTATCAAAGCTGTGACAGACCGTACGATGAGTTTGGGTCAGCACCCAAAGCACTGCCTGCCCCTGGACGGTGCTGCACACTTCGTACTGCCTTGCAGGTGTGGTCGCATCACGCTCATCCCTGTTCGCAGCTCTGGTAGGCACTCGGACATCCCGGAGGGCATGTGATGAATAATGAGAGATCTAGATTTCTAGATGTCAGCACTTTGAGTCCCGCTTGCTTAAATACTTGGGACTCCGCACTTTCTATAGCCAGCAGCGCATCCTGCAAGGCTATGTGGTCTCTTCGGCAGTGCTTCCGTTGCCGTCGCCTTGGTCTCCATGTTGCCGTGCGTGCTGAGCACAGGCTCTTTACGATTAAAGCAGGGTGGGGGGTCAACATTTATCGCTCGGAACTTTATGGTCAGCATAGTACTGTAGCCGTTAGCAAGGGGGCTGACTCAAGTCTTGAAGGCATCCTGAGATTACATTGTGGGGGTGAGTTCTGCTGGTGCGTTAGTGCATCCAGGCGAGGGCTCTTCGAGACGCTGCCAGAGGCTGGCTATGACCGGGACGTTCGGGCTGCGGTGTCGGCATTCGGATAATTGCGAAGTCCATGTTCTATCCTGGAACCTTCAAGTCTTGCTTCCTGAATACTCTCCCTCATTGCCGTGCCGCTCGGTGCAGGCACGGACCCTGGTCAAGGCTGTCCCGGGCTCGCTGGGCGTGGCGCTGCAGTTGGCAGACCAGGTGCCTGGGGCAGTCGCAATGCAGGACAATGCCACTTCGATGTGGTGAGTGTGGGGCAGCATCTTCTTGATTGCATTATTTTGGCAAATGAGTGTCGTCAGACGACAAGCAAAAAGATTTTGCATCAGGAGACTCCATGTATGAGTACAACTCAGCCAGCCAACTCACCAAACAAACTCCAGCAGCTACGCCAGCTATGGCCATGTTGTGCCGCTGATGAAGGTTCCCAGCAAGGCTCCTGCGGCAGCGAAGGTGCCTGTTGAGGTGCCCCTTGCAGGATGCCACATTCACTTTCTTGTGGAACGAGTGTTGCGTTTATGTGTTTAATGTTCTTGCGACACTTCTCCAGCCTTGTGGCCTTGGCTTTGCTTCACCGAGGTGGTGCCGGTCCTGCTGATAACGGGGCCTCGGGGCTGCGGCAAGTCCACCCTAGCTGAACAGCTCAGGCAGGGCAGCTGAGGAGAGGTTGTGGGCTTGGGCCGGTTTGGGGGGGGCCAACAGCTACTTTCTCAGCCAGGCACCAGGATTCGCGCTTCCAGGAGCCCGAGTGGGTGCGGGGCCTTGACAGCCTTCTCTGGTCTTTGCAGGCTTTAAACGGTCGATCAATTCCAAAACAGGTCGTGACTGCTCCTTGCTGCCGCTGCCGTGGGCTCCACGAAGCTTTTGATGAAACCTAGCCCGTAGTGGCAGCTTTTGTCCAAGCCGGTTTTGAGAGTCTCCTACCAATAATCCCTTCCTTCCACAGCCACAAGGACTGCGTCGTTTATGTATATTCAGAAACAGTCACAAGTTACAAGCTTTTGCGACATCTTCCACGACATGGCTTGCATGGCGTTTGCTTCTCGGCAGCTGGCATTGCACCTCTGCCTGAACTGGTGAGCAGGGCCTAGGAAGAGAACAAAGAAGGCATGGCTGAAGGTTTGGACAAGCAAAACGCCAGTGACAGTGACTGGCGCCTACAAATATCCACCGCTTTCTCCATCCAGCCGTCCCGTCCCTGTGAGCAGCAAGCGCCCCTTAACCGCCGGGCACCAAAGCATAGGAACCAGAGTCACGCAAGCACGACTGGCAGTGAATAGAATTCTTTCTTGTCCGTCACGCCTCTTCCATCCAAAACTTCCCAAAGCCAGCATAGTCGGGGAAGCTGAGAGTTGCCTGGCCACGGCGAGGCCATCGCGCCTAGTCCGACCCTCCACATGCAGGGCTTGCGCTTCTTGCCGGGAATCGGGCTTGCGGGGCCAAAGGGTTTTTGAGTTAGAAGGTTCAAGCGTGTCAGGAGGTGACGTCAGGCCGAGGTCAAGGTACTTCTTTGACTTTGTGTCCACGTCAGAGACGAGGCAGGGCACCTGCGCACCAGTGTGCGCCACAACACGATGACGATGACAACGGACCGGGGCGGGATGACTGAGGTCCCGGCGAAATCTGCACATGCGACCGAGTTGAAGAGTCGCACTGACTGAGACAATGCCAGGCGATGTACAATTGGAGGGTTGCGGCGGTGCACAACGCCTTGAAGGAGATGGGAAAAGAGACTGGAGCTCCTTGGAAAGAGAACCCGAGCGAAAGAGACGGTGTGATGGTTAGCATCTGGCTAGACCCAGTCTCGTTGCAGTGGAGATCGAAAGCTTGCGGCTGAGAACTCGGCACAAGGCTTTGCACGTGACGGATCTGACAGCTCTCGGACACCTGGATCAGTATCACTACGGTGGTATACAGGCAGGTCCGGTGAGCGAAAAGTCAACAGACACACTTCCGGAACTGAAGCTTTGAGGGAAGTTTGGGGCAGTCTCGAACTGTGGAAAATCGACTGTCTTCGATTGGCGAGACTATGGGCCATGTAGACCTGCCCTCGCAGCAGCGATCGGTCGGACTGAGGTTCGTGAGAGTCTTGAGTAGCCATGGGCCATGAATCTATGTTAGATTCCAGAACAATCAGCTATGATGGAAGCATATGGAAGCGCTCCTTCAAGTGCGCAAGGTAGGAACAGCTTCAACAAACTGGGGTCTGAGACCGGAGTATTCTAAACCGGGGCGGAGAGCACAGGCGATTCGCCCACATGTGTCGCAGCCCGGGCAGGCTAACGACCACGTCATCGAATTGCTGGGCAGGGTGCTCAGACTGTCCAGCTGAAGCTGAGGCAGTTCTCTGCATGAGGTCCTCACCTTCTCAGCGGGTCGGGCACGATATGTAGAACGAAGTAAGGACACCAAAGCCGTCCGACACACGGGAGGTTCAACCCCAGATCCTGATAGATTGACATGCCATGGAACTCAAGGCCGTGTGCTACTAGCGGCTCGCCCTAATCATGCGTTCATCTCCGATATGGGGCCCTCCACCAGTAGTGACACCTGCATACGTCTGCGTTCTCTTGTGCAGTGCCAGGAATCGATAACACAGTGCACTGCCTGGATGTTGGCTCTGGCATCGGCGGTCCTGCAAGGCCATGGCCATAGCTTCGAGGATTCGGAGGGTCAATGACAGTCTCGGATTCAGCAGCCGGCATCTTTCTACAATCCTGCACAAGGCACCCACACCCTTCGGAGTTTGCGTAGGCTTATAGTCACTCGCACAGTTAGATGGCAACCTCCGGGTTAGTGCTGTAAGACAGCTCAAACCCCGAAGTCCAGGTATATCGCCAGCAAGACCGGGTGCCGGTTGACGGGCGTCGAGCTGCAACCAGACATCTGCCGCGCTGGGCAGGTTGGCGGTCAATGTCTAAAGTTAAGGGTTTAACGTCCGCGCGCAGAATTTTACGAGGCAGACTTTGGCCTCAACTTGTCTCCCAACACCAACTGGCGATTCTGAAAAATGAGTGAGTGATCCCGTGTAAGCCATTCAGCAAACTATGCAGACGCTGACTGGCCAAGCCCGTGTCCCCAGGAGCTGACAGAGCGAGTACCCGGGCTTGCGGACAGGGTCAACTTCATGGACGCTCGCGCATGTTCTCTGAGATTGCAGAAGCTTTCAGTGCTTTGAAGCTGAGTGCTTGGGACGCGGATCAGACCCCATGGTGGGAATTGGTTGCTGTGGAGTGCAGAGCATGCATTGAGTGGTGCTTCGTTTGGCAGGCCTTTCCAATCCTAGACTCTAGTCCTAGACCTCGTTTGGTCCGACCTGATTGCATTGATTGCCAGGTTGGAGACATCATTACGCTGTCGAAGACCAAG